GTGGTGGTGGTGGTGGTGGTGGTGGTGGTGGTGGTGGTGGTGGTGGTGAGGTTATGCCGGCAATCCACGCACACTTTACAGCAACGTCAAAATCTATACCACTTACCAAGTTGGACGTGGACACAACCAAGTCGAAAATGGTCACTGGCGTGAGTAGCGAGGCACGCCAACCGTGGATCCACACACTGACGCCAATCTCGAGCATGTACACTCCCGCAAAGCACGTATTGATCATCTACAAGTGAATGGAAGGAGGCGATAGCCAATTACTGCCTCGACGGATTCAACTTTATCGCTAAATCAACGAGGGTGAGGCGGCCTAGCAGGTTATGATACAAAACTCAGGCATTATTGGATCGTTTCGGTTTAAGTAAATGGCCGATTTTGTGAGCGGTTTGGTGAGGCCATCACACAACGCAATTGGACGAAGTAAATCATTAAATGCGAACACCGATCCAACTTGCACATTCCGGCGATAGTGGTGGTGCTATAGGTTAACTTTTGAGTAGAGGGGGGTTATGAAGGCTGTCGATTTGGTGGGCGAAAACGTGAGGCAGAGGAAATTGTGCTTAAAAGCAACAAGTTGACGGGCTTACCAAAAACGCGAAGCTGGGCGTTTCCGCGTCTTCAAAGGCGACTAGTTGCAACTACAAATGCACACAAGAGCAACGCGGTCAACTAGGCGAACAAAGGCAGAGCAATTGAGGCGATGCAAAAAGCACCAATCCCCATCGTGTTTGAGCCGTCTAAAAGAGGGTTTTTTTTATGCCTTCCTGGGTGTAGACTTGGCGAAGTTGAGCCTCTTTCTCTGATTACACCCCAACTGGTGACTCCAACACTGAAGACACTATTGTGAATCGTGTTTATTCACACCCTAAAATCCGATCGCTCCATCCGCCGACACAGAGGTCCTCTTTTCGCAGCATGTCGCCAGCCGGGCGGATCTTCAACTCTCCCTCATTCGCACGAATATCTTGGATTATCCCCACACCTAGGTCTCGATGTTAGCGCATCTATGACTCACGCATCCGAGGTATGAATACACACGAGCAAACCCCACACACGAAACCAACGTGGTGGAAGCGTAATCGGGCCAGGGTTAATTCGGTGGCCCCGGAGTGGTTCAAGTCCACAACAGCTGGTGACCCCGACATGGTGAAAGGTTCTTCAAATCCCATAACACAGCAACTAACTTGAGCAAACTAGTTCTTAGAGAAAAAAACGCGAAGCAGGGATTCGGTGACTTACAACAATGCACACCACGTTGACAATGGAAAGGAAGAGCTCGATTTTTCTGTACAGATTGGAGAGGCAGAAGAGCTGCACTTGAGAGGCGATTGGACTAGTGAATTGGCGAACGAGGACAGGCTAAAAAGGAGCGTTGAATTAGTGGGGAAAAGGGGGGAATGGAAACAGTGGCAGAGGGTGCTGGTGTGAAACATACAGTCCTTGGTGGAGCGGCCAAATCCAGCAGTCGGAAGACATCCATGAATTCGTTCACCTTGAGGGGATTTCCATCATACTGCGCCATTAGTTTCTACAAAGTGACGGAGAGAGGTGAGTGCGTGAAGCACTGGTTCGCGCAATTCAAAATGCCACCCCGACAACAAGAGGATGAAAAAAAAACGACCAGGAAAACCACTCACTGTGGAGATCACAGCTTTCTTCCAACTCGGCATTTGAACCTCATCCAACAGTTGGAGTATTTTGTCCGCATCGACAACCGGGATGCTTAGAAAATTCAACGAAAAGAAACGACGTTTGGGCATGCGAATTGATAAAATCGATAAAACTGACCAGTCAAGTTTGAGTAGTCGGCAAACTCCTCTACCTAGTTATAACGCCTAGCAAATGGGTCTACAATGACACCGAATAAGCCTTTTTCGACAACCTCCGACTATCCAGTGTGCTCGAAAGTGGTGGCTGGCTGAGAAACGCGATCGACAAATATTGAGGATAATTAGGAAACTGGTTTGCCTTTGCCCCCTAGAGCCTGGGTCATTTTCCGGTCAGTGGTGACTTACAGATCACGCGATTTGAGAACTTCGAACGCAGCCCGGACAGCCACGCGTCGCCTGAAGATGCGTTTCTCGACGGAGGACTGAAAAAAAAACACCGGAGTGTGAAGTCGGTGTGATTGGCAGATCGACACCAGCCACGAGCACAAGCTACAAGACGCACATGCAGGTACCCACGAAACTGGTTGTACATTATGGCCGTGAAGATGTTCATGAAGATGTATGTGCCCACGGCAAGGAAGATGATGTCGAAAAAGGAGGCGGCGCGATTTTCGTTGTAGTTCGAGAGGATTACTAAAACGGAATTTGCGTAAGGGAGGTGTTTTGGGATTATTAAAAGATAGGAGGGTTGATGAGTTTAGTTTAGGGGTTTCATCACGGTGCCGTTTTGTTTTGACGAAAGTGACCTCTTCGTGGGGACACCACGGGCGCTGTTTACACGGTCGAACAGCTGGTCGGCGGGTGCGACTAGCGCAGCGTGCTGTGTGTGACAAAAATGGCGCGAATTAACTTAGAAAACGGGGAGCAATTTCGCGCTTACGATGACACCTTCGGCAGTCAAGGGTTGACAGTTCAACAGACTCGCCATTGCGGTGGCTGGTGAGTTCGTGGATTAAAAAAGGACGAGTTGCGATGCGCTGAATTGCGCGGACAAAACCACTTTGCGTGCTCGATTAGGTTGGAAGACTGTTTAGTTGAGACAGATCACTTAATATCTCTTGCCAAAAACACAACCAGTGGCACTAAGCGTGGAGCACTGTGCGTTTGCTGCGCACGAAATCGTGAGAACGAGGAGTTGACAAGACCGCCTTGCAAAGTCAGGTACATCCTCCCGAGGTTGTAAACACACTATAAACACACACACACACACACACACACACACAAAACCACCTTTACCTCGGCGCGCTCTGGAACGACCCTCAACTATTACCGGAGAGAGCTGATCGATGTGGTCAGCTGTAATTAAAACTCGTCTAATGCATGCACACAGGTACCACGGTTAGTTTGACGGTTAATGGCAGACCAGACCACTGAAAAAACTGCCACTAGCAGTAAATTACCATTTCGATCAGAAACCAAACAACTGGGGAACTACAGCAGATGGACATGTTATGCGAAACGACTTGACAGATTAGCTTGGTAGTGCAAAAATAAACCGTGGCCTCACCGTCTGGATGATTGGCCGTAGTTAGAAGGATGATGAGATTGTAGAATGTCTCGTATAGCCAGCCCAAACCGCGCCGTTTAGACGAGAGAGATGGGTCACGTGACTACCGAAAATGAAGAAACAAAACAACTCGTGATAGCAACTAGGGCGATTCTACGACTATGCACGCCAGCATCACACTAAAACCTACCAAATTACCGGATTTCTGTCGAAGTGGACCAGAAAAGAGGCACATGGCAGCTACTGTTGAACTGAGAATCCACAACATCAAAAGTAGCAAGAAGCTTAAAAGGAAGGAAAACGAGATTTGATTGGTTTTGCAAGGGTGCTGTCAAACACTGCATATCAGGGTTGTGGGTCTTAGTTCATCCCTAGATTTTGAAAAACCATCACGTTAACGCACAATTTGGCATTGCGTCAGTTACGCGTTTTTACAGGGTGATCTAAACACTTGCAATGAAAACAATTAAGAAGCGAACGACTCGAGTGCGATCAATAAAATGACTTGGCGGGAGGCCTGAAATCGCACCAATTACAGCGACATTCGAATTGACGAGGAAGAACGGGTAAAATAACTCACCTCGCTAATTCCGGCAGCGTATTCCACAGGCACTTGATGGTCTTTTTCAACATTTGACTGCTAGATATCAAGAAATAAGGCCGCAAGAATCGTCGAACACGATAAAACTGGAAAATAAGGCAAAAGAGCATGAGTACGTGAGCAAAATGAGCGATTTGACATAGCCGACAAATCGTGTATTAAAATCGATAGCGGAAACTATCTGACATATTCTGAGATTGTTCCTCAAATAAACTTAAAAGTACTAGCGGAGGGCCAATTTTGACTCCCATTACATCTGAGTTAACATGCTAGCAAGATTATCTTAGTACACTTTAAAGATTAAAGTTGACGTGAATTAAAAGGACATTTGGTGGGTAAGAACTGCAAGGAGGTACAACATGACAGTACAATACCATTACTTCATATTCAGGCAAAAATACGTTCTACGTGGCTGTAATGCGTATAAAATGCAAAAGTTCGAAGCCAAAGATGAGTGAATTAGAGTCCTATGTGGCAGCAATGATACACATTGTGGCCACGACCAAACAATAAACGTAAGGCTGGGACTACAAAAGTTATTGATATTTACACCCATGTCAATACTATGATGAATGACTAAAGAAAACAATGCAACATTTTATCAAACAGCCTTGAACTTGCACGCATGTAAAACAAAAATTAAGACGAACTTCAGAACACCCTGTCGCCATTGACACAGTCAGGTCAGCATAGGAGATTATCAGCACTATGAATTGGCCAATGAGCCATTTGTTTCGAAGAAACTCGGTTCTCCAGAATAAATAGGCCTTTGTGGAAAAAAATCATGCATAAATTATAACAGGAGAATTGGGAAACATTGGCGACATGGCTGGAAAATCCAATAGCGCCAGCAAATTTGAGGTGAATAAACTTTGGATTGATAAGTCAAGCAAGATTTCAAGGAAACAACAGAGCTTAATGATGAACCTTAAAATTATGGCTCTAATGATGCAGAAGGCAACAGATAAAGCTGTTTGTCTACTACACTTATTAAGCACTTTAGTCTTGTATGTTCTGAGAAGGGAATTATGATCTACTCCTTTGCTAATAACCTTCTTTGCTAGTATAGAAAGACACGCCACTAAACAGACACAAGTTGAAGCATGAATTGTAAATGGAGTAATACCAAAGTCCGCAGTCACAATGCTTTGCTTGCTTAAGTTGGAAGCACAGAACACAAAAAACTGGCCATATTTATTTAGTGGTCACTACATAAATATACAATAAACGTCGTTTTCGTGAAGGTGTGAAAAACAGAAACGATGAGAACAAAGAATTCGTAAAAAAGTAATACGGTAAATTCAAACTGTACAGAAAAAACTCACCAATAATACCGCACGAAACAAAAATACACACAAACAGATAAATTCTATTCCTTCAAGAATTCCACAAGGAACAACAGGTCTGTGAATCGGATTCTTTAAGTAGGAGGACCTCGTAAGCGATGAAGGCCATTCAAAAAAGGGTAGGAGAAAGAGGATGAGAAGGCACAAATTTGATACGAGTGAGAATAATTTGGAATAATAAATTCGATAGACGTTAATGCGTCGTCTATCAAGGCCATGTAAAATCGATCGATACTACAATTTATGAGAAATGAAACTCAAATCAGTACCCTTATAGCACTTTGTATTAAAACCGACGCTTTGATGACGGATTCGTTGGGAAACATCACATAGATTAAAGGGTAAATTGGAAAAGGCTAAAATGCAACAGCATCAAAACATCGAGGCTAATTTCGGAATCTCATAGGCTGATTTTTGATACCAGCTATTGGTTTAGAGAAAATAAGTCACCAGTGCTACGTAAAAACATTCTAGTGATTCACTGACTTAAATCAACAGAATTATATTTACTAAAATTGCTGCATCATTTGGAAATAAATTTTTAAAAAGTATTTATTTTTGAAAATTTATACAACATAATGACCTGGAAACCTTTTTTACCTCATTTCAAAACTAAACAAACTGACCAAGTTTGTCCAGTTTTCACTTAATGCAGCCTAATGCTTTTACAATAGCTGTCTAATTGTACCGATTTGAGTAGGTCTACCATAACTTGCCTCAACCAATTAATCAACTATACTTTCATTAAAAAACGTTGAATAAATTCACGGTAACTCTGTAAACTCTCATCATAGATTGCAATTAACTTTCACAACACGCAGCATTAAATGACACATCCATTTTAATTCTAAGCAATGAGCTTCAAAATTCAATTATTTTTATAAATAGTTGGGCATCTCTGTCTTTGAAGCTTAAATTAGCGTACAAATAGAATTTCTGTGTGGTTAATAATAACCTTTTCCATTAAAGACAAACATCGTGCAGTTAAATCGCGTACTTTGACTTTTACATTGAGGCAGTTAGTTACATTTTGTGATGAAAATTATTCTGAATAAATGTAGGCAGGTTACATGAACATTGACATGGTGGCAAGCTACGTGTAAGAAAGACAATTATGGTAATGGCGTTTGTGGTTGAGCATTACTAATGACCAGGACTGTCGTACCGGGCTCAACTTATTTCATGTCTTAGAAGTATTTCTGATGATTAAATTTCATATTAAAATCGATATAGATAACTTTACTTGATTAAAGTCCTTCTAAACTATGCAAAAATACTTTTGTTCTGAACGGCTTCAGTTAGGGTTACAAATTAAGAATCAACTAGGCAGTTTTAAAAATTATTGATCTCACAAAACTCTGCTAGCCAATGCCGACAACTTGATGGTTTATGATTCAAAATTAGTACTTAGTATCGTGCAAGCATGTTGGAAGCATAACATTTAGGTTCGAAATAAATTTAGTTTGATTAATTTTAACTTGATGATATCCTAATAGAGGGAAGTGAATCTCTAATGAGCCCCAAGTATAAGTGCTTATTAGGTTGTAATTTTTATGCGAAAGTTAATTAGGACTTGCAGTTTGAGTGATTTGAGCTAAATCTACTTTTTAGACCAGGCCATCACATTGTTTGTACACTTGTCAGCCTAAGATAGCTTTTGTGAGAACTAACGGGCACGTGTAGCGATGAGTCAAACGAACGTAGTGATCAGCCGAGGCAGTGAAGAAAAAATGCTTCCCAGTACCAAAATCTAACTGTTACCTGTTGCATTCTACCCTGCATGAAAATGATTCAGTAAGGTTAGGAAAAATTTAGCATCCATCAGCGCTCTACGAGCTATTTATGTTGTTTTGCCGCTATTTGCGTGTGTGCGTCTATACTGGAAGCCGATTCGGTTTAAGGATATAGCAACAACAACGTGATTGGTTGAGATTCAGACGTCCAACACAGAGGGTAGGAAATCCCCAAATTTACGAAACTGCTGAAATCAAATTACCACAAAACAAATGCAGGAGTAGAAAAAAACACATATCACTCATTAGAAATATTCACTTGGAAAGAAGGTAGCTGCACAGGAAGATAAGTAGGGGCATATTTACAAGGTCAAGGACGGTGAAATCAAGAAAGGGGTTGCTGCTGGTAGTGGAGGTGTCCACCAGTGGCTCGCACCAACTCCGAGCGGAAGGTGGAAGCGGACCAAAGAACACCCCCAGGAAGAGCAACTAGGTCCTGCATCTGGACAAACTTCAGACCCTCCTCAGAGTTTGTCGCGGTGGCGGCCGCGTCGCTTATCGAGGTCTGTGCGGTGACATCCATTACTGAAAAAATACAGGGAATTAGTGGGTGACGGGATAGCGATAAGTGGGGGGAGGGCAGTGTGGTACCTGAGGGGGACAAAGCGGGAGCGATGCCGGAAGCGGCGTGGTGGCTTTTGTTGTTGGTCCGCTTCTTGGTGCTGCTGCGCATCCGTTGGTGTGTTCGAATCGTGGCAACCGAATTAAACTGGCGGACAGCCGAAGATGGCCGGAATTTGCCATCTTCGCTGGGGTGATAGAGGCCGAAGATGAGCGACACGTCATGCTTGACAATAAAAGAGGCCAAAAAAGTTGTCGACAGCTGAAGTGCACAACTAGAGCGATCCATGATTAATCCACACAGTCTCCGATAAAATTGGTATATTTTGTAACATTTGATGTTGAATATATCGGATTCACAAATATTGAGGACAAATCCGATAAGACACGTTTTAAAGCGCGAAAACCTGACAATATATGGCAGATTTCCTAAGATCTCGGGATAGGGCGGTCTTTCAAGTGTTTGACTGCGGTTCGGTGTCAATAATCAGATCTAAATTAACATATTCGTCTTTATGAGTCATGAAAACGGAAAAGACAATGTAAAACATAGCTGTAGACTCTCAAATTCGCCCTGTAACGTGTCTCGGAGCAGTCGAGTAATCGAACAATTGTTTTTCTTGAAAAATTGAGCCACATTTGGCCTCGAAAGCGCATACTTAGACACTAAAGAGGAGGGAAGACTTGGGGAGCGACAGCAACTTATCTTTCCCAAACTGCGGACGGCTCTATCCGCCCAATTAACAACGACCAAATGGTCAGTACCTTTTAACCTCAGCTAACCACGGGGAAGTGAAAGTTTTGATTCAAAGTTTCTGATGAATAGTTTTTGACAACTTTGCTTGCCAACAAAGGACGCAATCCCAATTTCGCGTGCAACACGGACCACGACGTATTTCGGTACGAGATCATCCAAGAAACGAGGCACTAAAAAGTGCGATTTCCTTTAAAATTCCATGCAAACACACACACACATCGCAGCACCATTTGTCCACCTTCGATATCTTTCAAATATTGGGTGCATGGCTTAATGTTTACAGATTTTTCAGCAAATTTATTTAATGCAAAAAAGTAGACGACAACGAACTCAATTTTGGGAATCTGGTCGCAAGAGAAGCCTGCAGGTTTTGGGACAATAAAGTCACCGACGAATTTACGCACATCGTCCGGCATTACGAACTGTGTATCCACTACGGCGTGCTGCTGCTGCTGCTGCTGCATTGACCGGAACAAATGGCGGTTGGGTGGGGCCAAGTCTGATGAACATGCCGCGTGTGGGAGAACCTGCCATCACAAGTTCAAGAGGGTCTTGTGAGTCGCGCGAGCAACGCGAGGTGGTCGAGCGTTGTCATGCAGCAGCAGCAGCATGACATGCCTGCCTCCTTGCCCAGCAAATGGCCTTTTCACATCCCTGGCCTCTTCGCTCAGTTTGTTCAATTGTCAGCAGTCACCGTCTAACCGGTTTGAATGAGTTCGTATCAAATTGAACCCTTCATACTCCATCACATACACAGGAGACCTTTCCTTAAATTTTAAATTTTTCCCATTTGGTGCAAACGCTGGAAAATAGGTGTTTGGGTGACTTCAAACTGAGCTTCAGACTCTTGTTGCGTTTGCGTTGAGTCTTTTTCTGGTAGAGCTAGTAAGTTCAAGGCTGTCCGGGGAGCGGCTGGTCACCAAGCTCGGAATCGCCACTTCCAAACCGTCGGCACCAAGAACACAATGAATCGATCCCCACGCTTTAGAAGCTGTACGTTTGCCTTGTTGAAATTCGTCTGGAATGCAGTGCCATCGAATGTACTGCTTACCAGTTGCCAGAGTAACTCACGCAGACTTGTCGTTCTGCGGTCTGAAATCCTGGATCAGATCCCTTCAGAATCACAAAAGACCTCGAAAATATTTATACTGCAAAAAATTAACTCACACACCTCGTACATTAGCAGAAGAAATGTGTGTGCTATTGGACTCGAGCAGAAAATGCAGATTTATGTGCACAATGGCGTTTTAAATCAGCTTGTTTCGATCACAAGATTGTTGAAATTCTGAGACAGAGCCTGCTTCCCGGGCACTACAGTTGCTTGACCGAAGGTCCCACTGTTGAACCATTTACCCGCTTTGAACTACCAAATAAATTTGGTAACTAACTGGAAAAGGGGGCCAAACTATTGCGATTAATTGCCCCCGGAAACCTGTGAAACCAAGTTTCAGTGGAATTAATCGATAGCGGCACAGTAGGTGTGATTTGAGAGTCAGTCAAACACCAAAAGTAAATTCAATTTGAGTGTAGCCCGTGGAGATTGCAATATAACAGCAGAAGACGAGGATGCGATCGGAACGAACTGAAAAATCACAGTATTTGAGTTAAAAAAACGCATGCCATTTGAAAGTGGAAATTTACTTCAATCAGCGTTTCACCGGGCTTTTTTTCGAGCCGCTGAAGTGTCTCGGCACTGGCGAGTTGCTCAGCGTGCGCCTGGACCACGTGCTTCCAAGCCAACGTGGACGAGTTGAAGCCACACACGCCGATATCGGCCGGGCCATTCGATATCGGCGAGTTGATAATCAACGAATTAGGGGGCAGGGAGGCGGCAGAGGTGGTAGCCTCAGATCGACGGTTGCACCAGGGACAGACGTAGAGCGGCAAACCGGGGTGGTAGGCGGAATCAAGGACGTGTCGTCGAAGAGCCGACAGCTCCACGAAGGTGTGCGGGCAATGTGGACACCGGTAGGGTCGGGTGTCCATGTGGAGACGGGCGTGTCGACGCAGGTTGGAGGAGGTGGTTGCCTGGTAATCGCAATAATCACACGCGTACACGTAGCCTAGAGAGGAGCGCAAGGAGGTGTGGAAGATATGGCATGAAATGACGCGTGGATGCACTCAGAGTTGAAGCCTCACCTAGTCCATGGGTAGCCCTGTGCTGAGCCAACTGGGAACCGGTTTTGCCGCGATACGAACAGCCAGGAAAGGTGCACGGAAATGGTCGGTTTCCGAAATGCAGATTCATGTGTTCGGTTACGTGGGACTTGGTGACAAAAACTCGGCCACAATCTAGAAGTAAGAAGCCACACACTAAAGCACGTCGGAAAGTGGATCAAAAGGACATTGTAGAACACAAAGGTCACCTTTCACGGGGCAAGCAAATGCGCGACTCGACGTGGCATACTTCAAGTGCTGATCAAGTCGTAATCGAGAGGCAAAGCGACGGTTACAATGGTTGCACGGTAGTGTTGACGGGTCGGTTACAGGCAATGCAGTGAAATCTTCCGCTGGAGACAAGAGGGAAGAAAATATAAACACTAATACCACCTCAAGCACTAGGGACAGCAGTAGAGATGTACTTACAAACTTCCATACAAATGGCCCCAGATACGCTGAAGTGCGCTTGTTGTTAGAGCTGCTGAAGGTGGTAAATTTGTAAAATTAATGATTCAATTCAGACAAAAACCCCTCAAGCCAAAACCGTGACTTGTGAACTCCAAAACAAACTATTTACCAAGCTTTGGATTGTGCTTAACGTACTCTTTATAAGATAATTATGGCAAATGAATTAGCAAACATATTTCAGTGAATACGAGAAAGGTATGGAAGACAAGTCCGTCGGAATAGTCCAAAATTTAAAAACCGATAAACAATCAAAAATAACACGAACTACAAAACTGGAAGTGTGCGGTAAACTAAAGAGGAGGTAACATTTAACGAAATAGCGCAAGTCACAAGAGTCACCTAAAATATCACCGAAATACAGTCAAGTATTTACCAAGCAGTTGGCTGATAAAATATATGCTAGCAAGGCTTTACCATCCACGTTACTGCAAATAATTACTATACATTTGACTACTTTACATAATATGCGGTGTTCAATTCTGATGTATAAATAGTGGATGCAAAAATTGACCATGGAAAAATCTAAGAAACAGAATCAAAAGTGACTCCTGCAAAAGACTTCTACAAATGAAAAATTGTGAACTCAGGATTCATGTTTTCAGCTGCTAATGATACAAAATTACAACGCAAAAACCTGAAACAATGTTGCATTATCCGCTAGTAGATGATTTATTATCAAGAAATCTGCTCCATTATATGTTAAAGCTATTAACTGATATAAAGTATTTACAAACAGTTAATTGATATTTAAACTAAATGTAGGGTAGATTAGAAAAAATTCAATAGGTTTAGAAAAACGCCTACAGAACTGAAGAAGAAAAGAGAATTCTTCAGAGTCATCTGCACACCAAAATTAAGTTGGTGCGGGAATATTAGAAAGTTGCAATCACTCTATTTTACTATAATTTGTACGGAAATTTCGTTGTTATTTTTAAAAGTTTATGCCATTTAACTTAAGTATCTGCTTGTATAAAAAAATAATAGCACCAAAATTAAAGGTAAAGTAAGTATTCTTGCACAGTCTCAAAATCCTCTGATCTGATGATATGAAATAGGTAAAATTGGTATTATTAATCTGTAATCAGAATTGTGTCCATATGATTTTCCTATAAGATAGCGATGCAATTCTTTGACGAACTTGCACACGAATTATGAATGACAGAAACCAGATGAAGCTCGATTATGGCAGTTTTTTCTCATCAATCCCACCGCTCATATAAAAACGAAAATGCGAGGACCGAAGTGGACAGTCGCTAATTATAATATTGCGGCTCTTATTTCAGGTAAGTGCATTTCGACATAGGTTTCGGTTGGATTAGTGAACAGCACAGTTATAACTTTAGGCGGTTTATGCGGTTTTTGTTAAGGTGTAGGTCAGGGTGTGCAATCTGGACCAGGTGGCACATAATGGGGCTAGTACGACTCGGTTCAATAAGTAAGAAGTAAAGGATAACCTGTAATGTTGGACGTGGCTGCAGAGGATTTACCAAAAATCACTCTGTTTGCAAAGCAGACGATATACAAAACGCTAGAGGGACATTTGTCTGAATTGTGTAAACCTACAACTAAAGCATGTCATTCTGGTTTATAAATTATTGTTCCCAAAAAATTAATATTTATACCTATTAAAAGGACTGTTGGCTCAATAACTGTTAGTGTTTTCATGTACACCATTCCTATAGGTTCGAATAATTATCTCCAGCTTTAAAATCACGAAGCAAAACAGCAAAAAAGGTTTTAATGATGAATTAAAATTGACGTGTTAGAGTTAAATAGTCATGAGCCTATTGTGACACATTTATAGTCGACAAATTCTCACTATAATTATGTAATAAGTAAACCTTTCTACACCTTTGTTACAATATTTTGTAATCAATAAATTAATATTATACCTTAATTGCACTTTTTAGTAGACCTTTCATTTCATTAATTAGTGTGTAATTAGTTGTTTTGCTTAAGCAAAGCACTGCCCGAGGCGGCAAATCCAATTCAAAAATATGTGTGGTCTGCTTTGTTATGATCGCTCAGGCCGAGCGGTCATCGACCATTGAAGGACCTGAGTAATGAGGTAATTTTATTACCCTTTTACTCTTGTCTTTCCTCGTTGCTAACATTCAAGGCAACGAGTGCTTGGTATCTGTAAGCACCAGTCTCTAGGAGTTTCCTTGCGTTCCAAGGGGTTGGGTTTATCGAAAGCATATATCACAGCCCCGCTTGGAACTAAAGGAGCTTCTGAACCGTCCTTCCAAAACAATTTTATTTATGAATACAGGCCTTGTATTTAGTGCGAGCAGATGTGTCGTAATGCTATATTACAGTGTGGTCACTCGTCACAAACAGACTTGATTCGTACGGGATTCCCTCTACTGATGATTTCTATAAACGATTTTTTGTCGGCTGTCAACGCATTCTTATTAAACGGATTCGTGCTAACTGTCTTTCTGCGCTCTTGTTGAGTGGAGTAATTGATGCTAGATTTCTTCGTAATTCTTCGATTATGAAGTGTAATAGCTTATTTTAGTAGGTTTTAGAAGATTAAGTTAGAACACAAATTTCTTTGTTATCGCTCAGGTACATTCGATAGCGACGTGAGTTATGTCACGTCGACATTTTCCGGCTGACTGTAACTGATTTTTCTCGTAACTTGCCCATCGCGTGAGTTGTCACCAACCCGGAATCTGGCCATGAGGATGTGGTAGCAATTGCGAGGTGCCCTCAACGCTTTTGCGTTTAGCTGCGACTGGTTAAATGTTCTCAAGCATAATCGACAAATTTCACCTTCCAGTTCTTAGGACTTTGGCCATCACCGTCCAGTTTGCTCCTTCTGCTGGGTTGACATCAGATCCCTACCATTTTTCCTAGCACGACAAATTTTCCTTCCCTAGAAGCTGTACAAGTAGATCTAACCTCTTCATGAAGGTGTTTTCGAATAATTAGCGGCTGGTTTTTAGCCGATATGCTTGAATGATCTTCTTGTCGACTAATCAACTCTCACGAATGTGTTTTAAAATAGGGACTAACACATTTGAAATGGTAGGATGGCTTTTTAGAAAAAAAAATCTTTATAAAATGATGGGGGCTCAAAAAACCTTGGTGTGTGTACCCGGAGCAGTCTACAAAATACGCAAATCGACAAAATAGTGTAGTTCTTCAAAGTCGGGGCAGTGGATCCTCTTCGTCACTGAAATGCTCATCGATGCTGATTTGGTCGGCCTCGTAGTTATCAACTTCGGAGCTGTCGTAGCGTTCTGCTCCAGCTGAAACGACTTTGTCAAGTTCGTGACGTCTGGGGCGTTTATTGAACCAACTCCCTTGACGACAGGCCACGTCGACTGGACCATTCACCTTCTTGAAGAAGCATATCGAAGACGCGAGATCAACATCTCCTACAAAATACACCGAAATCCTATGAAATAATTCGTAACCAGAACATGTGACGTCATGGACTAAACAGGTGGTTGGGTGTGTCGTTTCAACGTATGCGGAGCCATTAATCGGACGCAGTAAGTGATGAACCCCATAGTCCGACACACGGGGCCAAAATGTACCTGGGAATTTGGGACCGAGAGCCTTAATTTCAAGCGGCAGTCTGTCAAGAAGGCACCATCGCCAGCCCCCGACGACAAAATCCCTGAGTCGGTTGCCCTCGAGTGAAAACGCACTCTCGAAGGACTGTCGCAGAGTCTCGAAGACGTCGCGCCGATGCAGGTCGAAGTGCTTCAACTGGGGCGCCTTGAGGGGACGAAATCGGTGCACCGACGGAGGCCAAATGGCGATGGAACGGGCCGCCACCAGTGCCCCGTAGTGATCGCCAGCGCTGCAAGCCGAGGTGGAGTTCCTGTCCGCCGAGGGGGTCAACCCAAGCCGCCAATTCATCCCCCCGGAGAGGTGGGCGTCCGACCAACCCAACCGGGCGCTTATCCACTGCAGCACGTCAAAAGAACTCTCGGCGGTGTCGTGAAAGGCGAGGTAGTTTTCGTGGAGCCAGGCCACAAAGTCGTCTCCACAAAGGCCGGATCGGTCAAGCACAGACTACAAGTCAAAGGCATTAGGCAACATTAGAGCCGTCCAGCGACAGAAGTTTGTGATGAGTGCTGACGTCCAGCTATGTCAGAGTTGTGACATTTACCGAGTCGGTGTCAAATGTTTCTTAACCGAGAAGAATATTGACTACATTGGCAAGGAGATCAGATCTGTGGGTTCAGTAATCAACTTAAAAAAATACCTCGGGGCAGAAAGACAGAGGAGCACGCTTCCAGTTTGAAAGATGCGGAGGGAGGTAGGTTTCACTGACGGCAGTTGAGTTATCAATTCCTGTTGCAAATAAGAAAGAGAATCACAAGAGCAATATCTACTTTACTCACGACATCATTAACTACTTAATTTCCAGACTGTGGCAATTAATAGAAAGGATTTAGAACACATCAGAGTACTTAATCTTTCCTACTTTTTGCATGGAGAATTTTGCCCAGTGCATGAAAGAAGTCGAGTCCACAGTCTCGCTCGTAGAAGTCAGCACCAAGGTGGGTTTTCTTTTTCGAAGTGTGACCTACAAACGGAGGCAAAAGTAAATCCATGGGGTGCAATAAGATTCTTCCCCTTGACTTGTTGGTCACGTGACGGTAGGGAGGTAACTCAAGTAAGTGGACCCCATTTCTACAGCCTAAATACGTGTTCGTGAGAACTGGCGCCGGTAATCAGTTGGATTTAGCCAAAATTTGCAGACGAATCGTCTGGCGCCTAATTACTGTTCTTCGATTGGTTAGGAGGAAGAGGGTTTAAGCGAGATAGGAGTTAGTTTGTCCAAAAACGAAGCTCTACACCCAACTTAGCAAGAGGATGAGCCTTCGTGATATCGATCTGAACCTTGAAGTCCCCTAATACCCAAAATTAACACCAAAAAAAGCATTTAGTGAGCACAACACGAACCCCGCATCATGGAGAATTGTAGGCTGTTCATAGCCAGTCGTATGTCGCCGGAACTCGAGGCAACCAAACGTTGAATGAATGATTTCGGAGGCACGGCAATTCCATTCTAATAAAGGAAGCACGAAAAGGAAGATGCATACGGCACGCCAGCAAGATTTTTTTCACGGCAAAGGCAATTGGGGGCTCTCTGTTAACATCCAGTCATAATAACAGAGCCCAAAACTACATTTTATTGAATTCGGGTAAATGTGTCATTAAAGGCTACTAACTCTGTTCATTAACCGATTTCTCATGGTGCTTCAGTTTATAAGATCTTAACAGCAACTTATTTTGAATTTTGACTTGCAAAAGGCAGCTCAGTAAAGAAATCACTAGATTTTGAGGCCGATTAGACGCATATGGCAGCATGACGCGGCAATATTAGCCACAGAGCTGAAGTAATAACTCCGATCGTGGAATAATGGCTGCTTTATGTAATATTTTAAAAATTGTGAGCACAAATACGCAAATCGATGTTACTTGTACCTCTTTTGAAACAAGTCCGACAATGCGGGTAAGCGCCCTCAGCATGATTGATGGGGCAATTGGATTAAAGTCTATCCTCTCAATGGCCAGTTCTTGTTTAATGTCTGGCGGAAATAGACGATTTAGCGTCAGGTTGTCAAAACTGGAGGTACCGGGGGTGCCTGCAGAGCTTGCAGATGAGGATTTAGTGAAAACAAAGGCTAACAGGGTAGGCACGACAAGCTGAGCAAGGAAAAGACGAAGGTAGTTGTGGAAACGGCTTGGCTGGTCGCTTAGTCCATAGGGGAGATTCTACGAAACAGGAAGAGTGGGCAAAAAAGGATAATGCATACTTTTCAAGTTAACAACGGCAGCTGCCAAAGTACTGGAATGCCAAACATTTAAATAAGTAGCCTCCAGGGATGATAGTAAAGCATACACTGGACCAAGCAAACCTTAAAATGTTAACTGACGATCAAGAGAACGAGAATTAAAAGACAGTACATTCTAGTCAAAGGCAAAACAATAAAAACATTAATGATTCAGACAGTAAGAGAATAGTTAATATAAAAAAAAATCAAACTCACCTCAATCAGAACTACTTGAGGGGAACCAACAAATGGTTGAGAATCGAGAGAAATAGAATTGGCATCCAGTGAGCCAGTAACAGAATACCTGGCAGATCGGAGAAGGAATTCCTCAAAGTGTTGTAATTCATTTGAGGCAATATCTTCTCCCTCTAGATCGACTTCCTCCCAACGAAGTGGCGGTTGATAACCCAATGAACGACAAACGGCAAGCAGGCAGGTTGATTTTGAACATCCTGGTGGTCCAGTAAGAACAACGATACCTTTCTTTTGTGCTTTGGCTTTTGTACAGACTTCAGTTATTTCACGAAGTTTATCATGATGTATTGCTATGTCCTTCTAAAAAAGTTTGTATCAGCCAAAAAAAACTAACAAAAGGGAAAAAAACTGCATACGAGATTTTTTGGTGAATATAGATCCGACCAAATTTCAAGGGAGTTCTTTGGAATGTAATTTAATTTGGAAACTAGTGACCCATACCACTGTTCAGCATTGCTACGTCGTTTTTTTAATGGATACTGATCAGGAATACCATTTAACATAACCGTTTGTGGCGTCGGATGAGGGCGCAGACATATTGGACCACCTGGCCTCAGCCAATCCCGTGTCCCTCTGCGATCCAATGGCATGCGAGAAAGGAAGGCAGCCAACCAGAGAAGGACATGGATGAGATGCAGTATATAATGAGCGACGTGGCCAGCGTGGTGGACTCGGATGGAAGGCGCCTGACGCGTGGCTCTGGCTTCTGATTGGTCAATAAAGCCTGTTCTGTTGTACCGGTCTTTACCTATTTGGGCTCGGGTATTCTACACGTTAACGTAACGGAACTTCATAAAGCGCGGTTTAGGTCAAATAGGTCTATAATGATTTCATTCATTACAAATATATATTCCCAAAATCTCTTAAAGAGTCAATTAAGATGTTGACTATGCTCTCTTTAAATCAACATCTAGTGTACCTTTAAGTATAACCTTATAGAATATTCCCATCAAGAATAGAATACTATACCACGTAATTCTTTACATTAATATTAAATGTATAACAGTCTAACAGAGCATTATTGGTATTTAAGGGTTTTATTGTCGAAATTGGAACCACTGCAAACATTTTTTTTGAAAAGTAATATTTTAAAAAACTTGAAATTCTGGTAATGCTGATAACAGAAATGAATTATTTTCACAGACTCAGTCTAAAATGTGTGCGCCTTAGGTTTTTATGTCTTTTAAGTGACAAATTAAGCCAGAATCACATGGATATTTTGTATTACAGTTGACAAATATGGTGCTTTGATCAAATCATCTTTGAAAACACTGCCGCATTAAAAATCGAGTCAATTATTCTTTCTACAGTCCCTCGTGAAAGTTGAGGCATTTAAAATTGCTTCTGACATCATTTTATGCTTTATAATATTTGTTTGTTAAAGGCGTTTTGTATCGTGTATTTGCCTGGCGCCCTAATTGAGTTGCCTTGGCTCCGCATGCTGCACCTCTTTTGAGGGTAATTAGTTGGAATTCCTAATATTTTACATATAACCAACTCTGAGTTGTTAAACCACGATCTATTTTTTTGCAAGCGCTAATATCCCTCGACGATTTCCAGTTCGTTTCGTACTATCTTTTTAAAGTATTATGATTGTAGCACTGTATTAAATACTAGGACATAAATTTGACCCTTGGCTTTAAAATATCAATTATCCCACTCAACACAAATTCCAGTAAACCCGTGGCTTGAGATGAGTAACGAAAATATGGTACCTAATGAACTGGAAAATCCTCACCTCAATCTTCTTCCGGGATTCCAGAAATTGAGCATGATTGGATCAGATTGTAAATTTGTCCATTTTGATCGATCGATGTGCTATTCACTACTCAATGTCTTTACTGCATAAATTTTGTTTTTGTGCTTAAATCCCAACGCTTTTAGATGGATGAAAGTGAGGAGAGTGTCAGTGCTCTGTTAGAACGACTTGTGTGCGTTCGACGAGAGGGCAGGGAGAAAGTGGTAGAACTTACGCGTCAACGCATTGAAATGACACAGTCGCAGCTAGTAAATTTGCTTTGTTGAACCTTAAAGAAATCTTAGTTGCAACACGGTAAAGAAAAGATTGTGGAACCGTCTATACAACCTTTGAATTACCCGAAGCCTCCCCAACTACTGGCCAATTGCTTGCCTCTAACCGCAAGGGAACTAAACGATCTTACTGGTATGAATCGTGTCGATTACGTCACTTTTTTTTCTAGATTCATTGCAATTTTAAAGTAACGAAATGATTTTTTTATTTAAATATAATTTACACAATTCTGCTCAAGTCTTCTATTGGCTGCTGGTTGAAAGCCCACGCCACGAGTAGATTTTAATCGGCGATGGTAAAACGCAGAAAATATTTCGAGTATCGGTAAACACAGTACCTCTAAAAAAGAAAAGTGATGATCTATTACGTAACGATGCGTACCTTTATTGTAGAGCGCAACGTGTTGTCAGGGATCTTGAGACCAGTTTCGGCGAGCTTCTTTTTGATTATTCCATAGGTGACAAACGGTGAAACTTCAAACCGTTCCAATATCGCTTCACGAACCTAAAACACAATAGTTTATATCATGCGACCTACTGTCTACATACTTGTAAAAAGTACAAATATTACAGAGATAGAATCTCATCTCGAACAATGGAGAATGCGAAATCCCTCAAGCTTTATGGATTTGCCCACAAACCTGTTGGCCACACCGTTGTGGCCGTATATATAATTGATTTCTGGTCAGATTTATGAAGTGTAGAGAAATGGTATGCAAGTGTTTAGTGTGAGTGGCGATTGAGATTTACAAAACTCAACTAAGCCTGTGGCAGCGTGTAGGCGAACCCCTGATAGCATTTCAACTAAGTACAAGCTTATTACTGCCCACGACTGCGGAAAAATGAAGTCTAGAGGCTCACCTGATGCAGCGGACTGCTTGGGTCGCCGAATTCGACAGCGACTGGTGCCACGAAAAGTGGCTGTTTGGGCAGCGAGGAAGGCACCTGCGGCCAATTGATGCGCAATTCTCGGCCCCCCACGGCCAGGACAACGTTGTGCAACTGCAACTTCAACACCTCCCTCTCCGCCTCTGATCCCGGTGGCACCGCTGGATCCTTAGAAATCTGATCCCCCAGGGAGGCTAAGAACGGCTGCAAAACAAAGAAGCATTTAGAAGGCCGTCGCGTTTGAGCCTGGTGCGGCTTGTGCATCGACACCGAAGTACCTGACATGCTTTGGTTAACTCCGACAATGCTAGGATAGGATGAGATTGTAGCTTTTCCTGCACGAAACTGCAGATAACCGGATCCTCTGTCATTGTGTAAGCCGGTTCTCGACGGCTAGGCTCCTCCACCTTCTCTGTAATGCCATCTCCGCCGACTAAGGCGGACGTGGAGGGCGTCTTGTTTGGTGAGGGACGTCGACGTGGTTCTGGTTGCAGTACTGGGGGACTATATTCCATGGGAGTTGGAGCCGCAGCAGTCTGTTGTTCAGAAGGCCCTTCAAACTCGTTATCATGCTGTTTGGGGGACGCGGGCTCAGGCTTAAAGGTATTTGCCTCTGCGACTGGAGCCTGGTGAATTCGTGCGGGGACCGTCGCCTCCAACGGAGGTAACTCACTGGCCTCTGGTGAAACGGACTTGTCCTGGCTTGCATTGGCTTCCAACTGCCGTTGTGGCGAAGTTAGTGCTGGCGACTTGTCAGCGCCGGATTCGGAGAAAAGGGGCGGAATAGGGCGAGTATTTAGCACCTCCGTTCTTCGCAATGTCGGAGAAAGGGGCTGATGGTTGTGGCGGCGGCGGTGGTGGTGGTGTCCACTAGGATCGCACATACTCCTTGTGCGGGCTCTCTTACTGGCCGGAGGTCGAGTCGACACGGGAAGCGGGTCGGGAGAGAGGCTAAACAGTCTGGAACGACGGCGCTTCGTGCCTGTTCGAAGTGTGCTGTCGTTGTCTGTGTCGCTTTCTGAGGACAGCCGACCTGAGCAGCATCGCCGACGCTTTTGGACGCCGTCTGTGCGGGATAAAGTTCTGTCTGTCAGTAAAGCGTGCCGTGGCACAATTGTGTGCGGTAATTAATTCTAAGTACCAGTGTCTTCATGACTGAACGCTCTCTCTCTCTCTGTTCAAATTAAAACTGGGAGGGTGCAACGCGCACTCCACATTTGCGACGACTATCCAATCGGAAAAATTAGCCACAGTAGCACTAGTGCGTGGAACTCACCGGTGACAAGACGCTCAAGTTTCAGCTGACTGCAGAGCTGCCTAATCCGGAGTTCCCAGCCCGTCGCGTGTTGGTGCACCACATCGGGGTACCTGGAACCAGGACACACCAATTTTAAAACCGACAAGTACCACTTCTCGAAATCACAACTAATAAAATCGATACTACTGCATTCGCCTACAAAATGGCTGTCAGTATCCTAGAGATGCTTCATTCCTTAATAAACGTGCATTACGCTACACCAAGGTAATCATTGACTAAATTCGCCCAGAATTGGGAGCAGCACCTTTAAAAGTACAATTGTAAGCAGTTCGTCGTCAGATCAGCCTTAATCTATACCCCCAAACAAAAAGACAATGTAAGTTAGTACTTTTGAGATCAAGAGCAAGCGTGTCACAGGCATCACCGGTCACACATACCGTCGAATGAAGTTGTAATCGGGTTGGCGGAACTCCCAATGATTTGTGTGTCCCCTGTAACCCGAGGAGATGCGAGTACCAAGGTGCTCCAAGATCTCCGTAACTTCAAGCGACGGCAGCTGAAAATGAGAAGCTACGTGAAAAGCGAACATGGAAACAGCACTCTCTACTTTATCACTAAGTTAGTTTGCAGTAGCAGATTCACGAGTGCCTCAGTGTGTCTTATCTGGCATGCTCAAGCGGTAGTTCTTACCTTGGCGATTGATGAAACGGTCTTCCTTGTAAGGTGGTCACCGCGGTGAAACACCGCCATCTAAGAGTAAGAGTACAAACACATATCAGAAGATCACGGGTTTAGGCAAGGAGGGACAAACGAATTGATTGCATTATCAACTTACCACGTAGTCACGAGCCCTAATGAGCTGTGGACTGGGCACAGACGCGTGCTCGCTAAACGTATTTGGAGGATAAAGTACGTCACTGTAGTAAAAAAAAGAAGAAACAGTTGTGTTGCAGACAAGTTCAGTTGTAGAGGTCTGAGATTGTCGAAGCGCGAAGTAGCTAATCAACCCACCTGAATCTTAGCCCATTATACCAGAGTTTACCTAGTGAGGCTTACTAAATGAAGACGTCGCTAACACTTTAGGGCTTAGACCGCTACTATAACAGATAGGGAAGTAAACCACAGGACTTTCCACCACAATCAGGTGGAAGAAGACTTCAAGAAGCCTACCTTTTTACAACCCACCAGCCACAAAGCAGAACGGCAAATTTGTTGAGAATAGGGATGACAGAATTCGCGTTTACGAGATCCTTATTCGGAAATCGATCACGAAGACTTTCAAGCAGTTTGTCGAATCGAATAACATGTGCTGAAACCAGAAACGTCATTAGTGTACAAAGAAGTAAGAAGAGCATGCAAAAAAATCACAAAATAATACCTTTTAAAAGAATGCTCCGAACAAATTCATCTAGCGTGGGTTGCTTTTTGAGTTCTTCAACGAATCTTTTTACTCTAAAAGTCAAAAAATGCTTGATCCTTATAGGTTGTAGATCTCAAAAAAATATAATGACCCATGTAAAATCCAGCATCGGATTGGCAGACAAGGTGCCATTTTAGGGGTAAACACGTACTTGCAAACATCCACGGAGATAAAATTCACAATAATAAAAAAAACGTACTCGTTTGCTTCATCACGAATTTTCGAAAGAAGAAGATCTTCGCAAACGTCCTTTGTAAAATCATCCGAACATTCGTTCGATATTTGTTCCATTGGGCACATTAACACAGCACGATGATCAAATGCATTCGCCAGCTAAATTTAAAAAAAAATCAGTTAGAAACATCAAAAGTGATGTCTGTAATGGGTAAGGAGGTACATACCCTGTGACACCTGAACCTGGCAGGTTTCCAAGCTGTCAGCTGCAATTGTGACAAGTACATAAGATCGGAATCATTTTCAGCTGTTTTTCGCCTACTTGCAGCCCGCTTGGCTCCGAAATTCTCTGCTTCAGATCTCAGCCTTGCAGACACGACGGTGGGTTTGGCCAAACTCGACGAAGACACCTGATCCTCAACTTGCTCGTCAGTGAGTTCCGGCACTAAATGCGATTAGGTTTGCGTGAACACACACGGAGGAAACTTTAAAAAAATACATTGCCAGTCTACGAAACGCACCTTTAACGGGTTGCTTTATGTTGTCCATAATTAAAACATTCGGTTTTAGTGGAACAAAATGACATTCACCTAGAAGAATAAGCAAACTGAATTTTACTTACCGTTGATAAAATAGCCCAAAAGGGATGCGTCGATCTTTGCGGGCGTTGAACGAAGTGTGTACGAGTCTCTTCATGCAATGAAAGGAACTAAGTAAACACTTACTTTTTTTCTGAACTGGCCTTTGCATTCGCTCTTCGCCCGTCGCTAACGTTTATTTCCAAGTGATCCAAAGTAGCTTTGATTCTAGAACTTCTGAGGTGTTCAGTCTCTAACGGCCTATTCTTGTCTCTGTTTTTGTGCTAGCAAGTATGGTCAGCAGATAAAATTACTACCAAAAGCAAAAGCAGATTCTTCGAGAACTTAGGCGAGATAAAGCAATCAATCTACCAAGTGACACTGAAAACGACAAAAATTACTTCTTTAACAACTCCAGGCGTCCTTTCAGTCTTAACCGATTCCATTGTAAGCAAAGGTAACGCTTACACCCAATGAAATTCGCGATATCAGAACATTGACTAATTGGGTCAAGAACAAAATGAAGCAGCTAAGCCTATGCACGCAAGCTAAGCACCAAATCAATTTAAAGAAAATTTCTCAAGTAATCTCATTAGAAATTTTTATTTATTACCATTGAATTTTTTAAAAGTTCCTGTTGCAATTTATGCTGAATCTTTAAAACAAACAGGAACGCTTCCTAGACCTAAAACAGGAATATGCACGAATACAGAGCAAAATAACCATATTTCTCTTCCACGTGAATACTTGCGAACAAGCTCTACATATTAAAAAGCTGACCAGAAATATGTGCACGCTAAATGTTACCGAAGACATTTCAAAACTGTAATTTAAGTAGTTTTAAGTGCTTGAGTAGCGGAAACTGAAATGGGAAAATATTATAACTCACTTGAGTAAATCCGGAAATGTAATCTTTTTTTTTAGCTATTTATGCAGATTATCTACAAACCAATTAAGTGTTGTTTCTTTCTAGTACCCATTAGTCTATTTGAAAACTCTAGATTAAACTTTAATATCCCGATGCAGATTTTAGGCAGCGAATTTCTGAATATTTGATTCTATTATTTTAACACTGAGGCAAAGAAGTTGAACCACCAAATTAAAATTTTCATACAGGTTAAAGTCGTATTTAGGAACCACCTACCATTTAGGTTTAATCAATTCATAAATATAAAATATTCGTTGATTCTTATGAGGAATACATTATACAGTTTTGATGGTCCCCAGCATGTAGTTTTGAACCACAATGACTTAACTCTGGCTCGGTTACGCTACCATAAGACCGGAGAGGACTTAAACAGCCGTTTACTTCAGAGTTCATCCACGTTGGTGTCGTTGTGTCGTGTGTGGGGTTTGCGCATGTGTATTCATGCCTCGGATGTGTGAGTCATAGATGCGCTGATATCGAGACCTAGGTGAAAGGATAATTCTGGATAGATATTCTTGCTAATGAGGGAAGGAGTTGAGGATCCGCGGGGCTGGCGATATGCTGCGAAAAGTGGGACCCTGAGTCGGAGGCTGGAGTGATCGGATTAGCGAGTGTGAATCAACGCGATTCACAACAGAATGGCATTTTCGAATTTAGTAATTTCTTAATAAAACTCGATGCTTATGATGAATTTCATAACACATAATTCATCGCCTTCTATGCTTTATTTGTATTATTCAATTTCCTGCACTTAAATTTGCAAAGAAAACATCGAGATCTATTTGTGAAGATAATCGTTCGTGCTAATGAGTAGTGAATTGAGAATCCGAGCGGCTGACGACATGTTGCGAAAAGGGTAACCTTGTGTCGTTGGATGGAGATACCAGATTACCGAGTGTGAATAAACACGATTCACAACAAGGTCGTTGGTTGCCACGGAATGCCAATTTTAGATTTTATGTGAATTTAGCAACGAAGAGAATCAACATTAATTTAAGCGATTAATTATTAGATGGGGAACCTCGTTACTGTGTGTTCAATTCGAACAGATGTCGGACTGCTAAGGCTGCAAGCTTAACTAAAAGGAAATTTTTGAAGATTTAATTAATACCTGAAATACGTAGTTATACTTACACAAATTAATCAAATTTCTGGCTAATGCAATGAGCTGTTTTTCTTTATCAAAACCGCGAACCGCAAACCAGACAGCTATAAGAAAGAAAAAGAACTGCCAAATAAAGGCTATCAGTCTTTAGATAGCAGTTAAACAACAAAAGAAAGGGAGGAACAAACACCTAGGTTGCAGGAGCCGTTTTTTTATCGACCACAGAGAGACATGAATTAGGAAACATTGGCAGCATTTGCTGCTTAGAAGTCGATTTTCTAGTTTATTAAGGAGTCCGCCATCCAGACAGGTCTGCAAACGTTAAGCATCTAATATTTTGGAGTGGCTGGATGAGCACTGTAAAACGATTTTGACAGTTTGGCGAACCTGGATGTGGAAGGAGGTGTTATGGTCTCAACATCCACATTGCAACAGTTGTTTAGATTTCAAAATTTTATTTTTCAAAAGTAAATGCTGTTTATGAATGCAAACTTTTGCCTTTGCATTCCCGTTTCTCTTTCTATTGGCTCCTTTTGAGTATACGGTTTCTCTTTACGCTTTCAAGGCAGCCTTCGTCAGATATAAACAGGCCCAAGTAATAGTATAATTGACAGTTTCATTGCAGTTAAAAAATAGTCAGAATGACATTCACAACCACATTGCTTATGAGTGCATGATGCGAACGTCAAAACCCTAACACTTAAACAATAAAACTGGTAGGATACAAGTTGCTCACCGAAATGCATATCAAACAGTAACAATGTCATTCTGACATCGTCAACTGACTGGTTTTATTTTAACATTATCTCAGGTACTGACTGCAACCTGGTTAAAAATATCAGGTCGGAGCTTGTAACGCTGCAAACAAATTAAGGAGAATATGCATACAGTGTATTGTTGTCTGTAAATAAGTCATAAAAATGCGAACTCTAGCACATCAGCTAGAATCTTGGGTTGATGCTTTTTTTAAATCTTAAGTTAAGTCAAGATGAAGCTTTTAACTAAAATAAAAAAAGAAAATTGCAGGCAGCACAAATGTCTACCTTAAATAAAATTTGAGACATTTTAACTGTTCGATAATTCTCGCAGAACCGTTTAATTTCGCATCTTAGTGACAATGTCATTGGCTACCATCGCCCACTTTTCCGCCTTGTTATTGTTGCGTGATTGCCGCAATTGAACATGGTTAGTTGATTGTTCTGCAATAGACACGTAATTCACGACTAATTACTTTTGTTACCACTTTTCCGCTACATTTTGTGCATTGCACAGCACTTTGCAACTCTTTGTTGTTGCATTGTTTTCTTACTTGGTCATCTACTTGCCATTTCGCCTAACTTGAATTTCGATTACCGGTAGCATGTTCTTCAATCTGTTGTTTTACTTTGCGTTATGTACTTTGTTTTCTTTCCAACAGTGCTACCTTTATTACTTGTACTAATTTAGTCACGTTGGATGCACGCTCAACTTACAACTTGTATAATACGCTTCAAATCAATTTACATTTTTCTAGCTTGCTCTTCAACCCGTCCAAGTCTTGAATCAAGGTGCTGATGAGGAGAAAGCTGAAACTGCTCGTCTTGTAAGCTTAACACGTCGTATAATCATACCTTACTTAGTCTTCTTTTATGGGTGCCATTGCAATTGGTGATCTCGTTAAAACCACTCTTGGACCCAAAGGTATGGACAAGATCCTTTTGGGTTCCGAGACCTTTGAAGTCACAAACGATGGCGCTACAATCCTTAAGTCAATTGGCATTGATAACCCAGCTGCCAAGATTCTCGTCGGTATGTCCCGTCTTGTTCCAGTTTAAGCTTCTGCTAGAAATGAGTAAGGTCCAAGACAACGAAGTTGGTGATGGCACGACGTCTGTTGCTGTATTTGCATCGGAGCTTCTTCGTGTGAGTTAAAATTGCAAGCGTGTTTTAACATGATTTCGTCGATTTGATTTATTTCAAGAAAAATTTCTTGCTTGTTTTAGGAAGCCGAATCCCTTGTTGCTTCAAAACTCCATCCACAGACTATAGTGTCTGGATGGCGTGCCGCCTCAAATGTGGCTCTTGAGGCTCTGGAAAAGGCTGCCAAATCCCATGAAGGAAGCATGTCTGAACGTCACGCCAATTCCGATTTCAAAGAACAGCTTCTCAAGGTCGCTAGGACTACACTCAGCTCGAAATTACTTACCCATCACAAGGAACACTTTGCAAATTTAGCTGTCAATGCCATCCTTCGTTTAAAGGGTAGCGGCAATCTGGAGGCTATTCAGGTGGGTCTTGGCCCTGATTTTCCGCATTATCATAATCTACTGATTTTACCGCTTTTTATGTTCCTCTACCTTTTGCTCTATCCGAGTTGTTAATATTGTGTCCTGGTTAAATTTTTAGATTATCCAAAAGCTCGGTGGCACCTTGTCTGATTCCTACCTCGACGAAGGCTTCCTTTTGGACAAAAAGGTCGGTGTGAATCAGCCCAAGCGAATTGAAAATGCGAAAATCCTAATTGCCAACACTCCAATGGATGCCGACAAGATTAAGATCTTCGGTTCCAAAATTCGCGTCGACGCGATCTCCAAGATTGCTGATCTCGAGATCGCCGAAAAGGAGAAGATGAAAAACAAGGTCGAGAAAATTATAAGTCATGGCTGCAATGTCTTTATTAATCGGCAGTTAATTTACAACTACCCAGAACAACTCTTTGCTGATGCCGGTATTATGGCCATCGAACATGCTGATTTTGAGGGCGTTGAACGACTTGCTCTCGTGACCGGTGGTGAAATCGTTTCCACATTCGACTCGCCCGAAACTGCAAAGCTTGGTCACTGCGATCTTATCGAAGAGGTAAGTGCACTGTGCTAGGTTGTTGTTGGTTCACCTTTGTAATATGATGAGGCAGGCTTCCTAATTTGTCTTGTGTGTGTGTGTGTGTTCCACAGACAACCATTGGAGAAGATCGCCTCATCAAGTTCTCGGGTGTTGCACTGGGCGAGGCGTGTACCATTGTGCTTCGCGGTGCCACCAACTCAATCCTCGCCGAGGCTGAGCGCTCCCTTCACGACGCGCTTTGCGTTCTGCAGCAGACTGTTAAGGACCCACGCACGGTGTGTGGAGGCGGCGCCATGGAAATGCTGATGGCCGAGGCCGTCTTCAAGGCGGCTGCTTCGACCCCCGGGAAGATGGCTCTCGCCATGGAAGCCTTCGCGACTGCCTTGCGACGAATTCCCAACATCATAGCCGATAATGGTGGTTTTGACAGTGCTGAACTTGTCTCTCAACTGCGGGCTGCTCATGTTTCAGGCAAAATGACCATGGGTTTGGGTAAGTTTACTCACCATCTGCGTCTATTTGATTTCAGTCAAATCCGACCGGAAACAGCTTGCACAGAGGAATGTATTTATGGTAGTCTTCATCCTTAAAAGCAGTTGCTTTTAAAGTGTCTGTGCAGGAGCGCAGTTCGATTAATATTGCTCCCTTTATTTGGCCTTTAGATATGGACCATGGGTGCATCGCAGACATGGAGGAGCTTGGCATCACTGAGTCGTACAACGTGAAGCGTCAGATCATAATATCTGCCTCGGAGGCCGCGGAGATGATAATTCGGGTAGACAACATCATGCACGCTGCCCCGCGCAAGCGTCAGCCCCGCCCTTAAGGCACTTTTGCACCCGCGTCGCCACCTTCGTTTGCCACCGTTTTGACAATGCATTTGCTCTAGCGTGCACTGGCAACTTTTACTCTCCAAGTTTCATTAAATTGTTGCTATTGTAACTGATTTTGTCTCCTACCGTCGGTGGGATATAAGACGGCGTTTAAAAATACTGCAACTCATCTAAAGAACGCTCGTTGGGGCTTCAGATTGTGGTAATTGCCTGGACGTCCTCCGGTGGCACGACTTTTTTGTTCTGCAGACCTTTCAGCGATTATACATGTAGACATTTGTCAACCCCCGACTCCAATACTATAAAGATCTTCCGCAACTATTACGTCAAATCGTGGCTGGAATTTGCATCGTCACGCGCCATTAAAAACAGTAGATTCAAAGTTCTACGGTTGCTCTTAGCGCTGGTGGTTATTTGCGAAAACGGGGTCCCCAATAATAATGTTGCTGCTATTCTTGTTGTGTTGCTAAGATTTCAAATGGCAGCTCATGCATATTGCCGTCCAAAATAACTAGTTGACAAGTTTGAGGTTATGAGCTGCTGCCCACTTGCCTCTCTCGGAGGTCGTGTTATGCGCTGATGACATGTGTTCAGCTAACTGGTAAATTTGGGATGCATGAAGCAGAATCCAAAGAATTGGACAAAAATGCTGTTCTTTTGGTATACGGAGAACAGTCTTGGCCAGTTCCCTTGGTAATTTACCCCCCGTCCCGCCAGTCGTGAAATCATTCAATTGACCGAGACCGGTTAGTGGAAAGGGATTTGGCGTTTCTTGAATCGAGGATGCAATACGTTTAAAACTATACATTTAGTGCAAGCCGGTATGACGCCCTGCCGAAAACCGAGGGCTAATGGCTTTAATGACGCCGTAATACGCGAGGAAAACGAACAAGCGATGAAGATAACGGAATTTTAAGTATGTTAACACGGAGAGGTAAAATCAATATCGAGATGTGATAGTACCTGCATTCTTTGGTACTAAATCATCTACCTTTTGCTGGATCCGAAGATAGTGTGATAGACAGTGACTCTCTAATGATTTGTCTTTGTTCAATTCATCCCTAACATTATTGTATCAGCCAGTAACAAAACACGCTGGTAGAATCTATGCCCAAAATCTCCACCTTCTCATCCTGTAGGGAGCTTTACTGACGCCGTTAAAGGCGTCGGGGTCACCAGTTTATTGAGACGCCAAATAGCGCTAGTTACCCAACAAACACGAAGTCGGTGGAAGGACAGACGAAGCCGTGGTGGTCTGTGGGGTTTGCGCGTGTGTATTTAAACCTTGGATGTGTGAGTCATAACTGCGCTAACATCGAGACCTAGGTTAATCCAAGATAAATATTCGTGTGAATGAAGGTGGAGTTGAGGATTTGCGCGGCTGGCGCCATGCTGCGAGAAAGGGGGCCCTGTGTCGTTTGGCCAATTACTTGTAGCTTTGCCGAGGCAGGTCAAAATCGATAAATCCTGGTAAGGGTGTTATTGTGGAGCTCTAAAGATGTTGTACCCAAATGAAGTGGTCAAAGTAAGCGATTATCTTTAATAGTTGCAGACTTGAATGAAATCCAACGTCATCATCGCCTAAATTTAGCATTTTTCAGAAACCAAATGAGTTGGTGGCTTGAACATGCGGTGTGACCTACTGTCACGTCAAACATGACCTTTCTCGTCCGTGCTCGATAAAATCTTCGATTTTATGACTCATTTTCCGGTCTGCTATGTCCCAGTTGCAGATGGACCACATTATTCCACTAGTGGAGGAATCAGAGGCTTGGTGTTTATTAAAGACATGGAAAATTTGTCTTCCATTAATTACGACCACTGATTACATCACGCGATGATGGTCAATTTGGAAGTGCTTAATATAGTGTTAACGGTACACCATCAGAAACTTATGATATCATCTCATCTTCCTTAATGCCGCAGTAATGCTTCGACAGATTGTTTCGTTGTCATTTGGATGGAAAAAACGCTGTTTATAACTTATCTGTGTGTTGACTAGTCGTCGTCGTTTGCGCTCAGAAAATCTATCAAGGTTAACAATTTGAAACAGCGCAAGTATAGCCCTCATTATTCTTTATAACGTCTAAAAATATGCGGTCACACACGGAGCCAAAAAACGGAATTGAACATGGGAATATTATTGGTCGCTTGATGCTAATTGGATAATGTGGGAGATAGATTGACCCTGTAAGTTTCCGACCCATGGTATGGTGAATAAGAGAGAGATAGGCAAAAAGGAGCACTTTAATAAAGGCCGAGACAACC